CAGCCCCCCAAACTCCGCCTTCCCCAAGCCTACCTAATAACCACCCCTAAAGAGCAGAAGCAACAGGGGCTCCCCATACCCCTTCCCCACTCCTGCCCCTGCTAACTGCGCGTGCACGCGCGCGTGCACACACACACACACACACACACACACACACACCAGCATCCTAGGAAGATCTGTGAAAGTGAGTCTTGGCACCCTAGGAAGATACTTGTTCCCAGTTGGGTGGTAAAGGGTTAAGGCAGGAGCCAGATTTAAGAGGCTAGACCCAATTGAACCTGTGTGGAATAGGGCAAAAGGGAAAAGACTGAGCTCTACGTGAGAAAGGACTACCAGAGGGCAGAGAGGACAGTGGAACCAGCCTTCACAGACTATCTTACTTTCCTAGAAGTGCAGCCCCAGAGAAGCAAAGGCGTGTGTACATTGCCCTTTGCTGGAGATCAGGAAACCAGAGTTCTAATTCTTAATCTTGGCTCTTCCACTGACAAGTTGCATGACCTTGGGCAAGTGCCTTTCCTTCTCTGAGCCTTAGTTGCCTCATCTGTGCAGTGAGGAAGTTGACTGGAGAGTCTCTAAGGCTCTGACCTTCTCTGGGTGTAGGAGGCAAAAATCACAGACCACAGGCCAGGCTGAGGGATGCAGGTAGCCTACACCTTTATGCCATCCACCCGCACTTCTTTTCCCCACCACCCCTAGGACAGGAAGAAAGGAAACTGACATTCATTCATTCCTGGATGCATCCATTCAATAAACAAGTATTGGGTTCCTACTGTGGGCCCTGTTCAGAAATGGAACACACAATGTCCTGCCCTCAAGGAGCCCAGCCTAATGGGGAGGGGGACATGGAAACTAATTTTGCTAGAATAGGATAAAGGCTATGCATGATCAATCTGTGTGCACAGTCACTGTGGAATCCTACTGTGTGTCATGTGCTATACTGGAGTCTTTGACATATAGTAACTGTTTCCCCATTTACCCTTTTGGAACTGAGGCAGAGGGAGGGTGAGTGACTTACTCAAGGTCACCTGCTAGTACTCACAGAGCTAAAATCCCCATTCAAAAGTCCATGGGGATATTTAGGAGCAGGAAGTTAGTTTGAGGCAAAGCCTGGATATCTGATCTTTGGTGACAGAGAACAAGCACACTTATCTGCTGGGATGGCCCTACCCCTCACTGGGGCAGTAGGGCCACTGCCTCCACTCTCCAAACACTCACCCCCTACTGCTGATCCTGCCTCCGTTTTCTTACTGTTCCCTTACCAGGGGAGGTGAAAGTGACTCTGTCCAACAATTGCTTCAGAACTAACCAGCCTGCATGATCCTCCCCAGATCAGTGAGTCCATCTTCCCTGCCCAAACAGTGGAAGGTGTGCTCCTGAAGAGACAGGGGTTCTCTTGCACTCCAGTGGCAGAAGAGAAATCTCATTTGGTGACTCATTCCAATGTCTCCCACCCATGCTTTTTAGAAAGTCGTGCCTCACAGCTAACTCTGACCCTTCTACTTCTGGTTTCCTCCCCTCCCACCTAATTCAGTCCTCACCGCAGACAGAGAGCAGAGGTCCTAACCCTGACCTTTCCTAACCAGATTTAAAAAAACCAAAAAACCTCACACTCCCCATTTAGTTGTTATAACCTTTCTCGTGTCCCCCACCCCACAGCCTTTACTTTCTCACCTCAGGGGGCTTTGGAAGAGAGATAGCCCAACTCCTTTTGGCCAACCCCAGAGCTCCCAAGAGATAAAAAGAACACCCCCCTTCCATTCATACACATTACTTTTTCTTGAAAGCTCAGGGAAAAGAGGGGTGAAGGGAGGGGGCTTGGAAGGAGCCAGCTGACCAGCTGGTCACCATGGCAGCCGGGCCTGCTTCCAGAAGATGAGCCTGGGGTGGGGGCGGGATGGAGGCTAGGAGTGGCAGAACAACCAAGAGAACTAGAAAACCGACTGGGGAAGGGGGGAAGAATTGGAGGGGCCCAGCCTCAAAGAAGACTGGGGCTGAGGAAATGAAGTCAGGGCCCTGACCACACTGTGGCCTGAGGCAAAGTCCCCTGGCCATGTTTCCAGATGATACTGCATGGTTCTTCTCCCCATTTCTGAAGTTGCCCCAGAAGGGCTCCCTGTCAGAGTGTAGACTAGGTGCAGGAAGCAGTGAGTGACTCAATGCTGACCTCATGTGGCCAGAAGAGGGGCCGCCACACACCTGTTATGGTTCAGAGCCTGGCATGGGGCTGAAAGGAAGTAGGTTTTTCCTTCAGCCTCTGTATAAATGAGAGTTGCGGTCACTGAACATTCCTGAGTTCTTGTGTCCTTGCAAAGGGCTCAGATGCCCCAAGCCCTTTAGGCCTTCATAAAGGAAAGAAAGTTTACTGAAAAAATTTTAAGTGTTGGATTAGGGACAGGAGAGCCTGGCTCTGCAATTTGTTTGGCCTTAGGAAAGCCAACTCACATCTCTAGGCCTAAGCTCACCAACTTTAAAATGGGGATAATGCCAGATTTTAAACCCAAGTGGCCTGGGTCTGGAGTTTATGACCATACTTTTGCTCCAGCTTTTGAGGATGGGAGAGGAACGTGTCAGGGGAGGAAGTTGAAAACATCTGAAATCACACTGACCCCACGGGAAGGAGATGTCTCAATTTCCTTAGGCTATTCCTTCATGGCTTCTTACTGCCTCATACTCAACACATCCTCCCTCTCTGGTCCTCCAGGGGGATGGAGAGGAGTAGGTCATATCCTCCTGTTTGCCCTTCCCCTCTCTTCTCTTTACTAACCCCCTCCCCCCAAGAGGCTAGGTACTTCTCTTCTCCCCAGACCTCTTTCCTTCCCATTTCCAGTTCAAATGGAAACTTCCCTGTCCCTCATCCCACTGAGTAGTTGGCCCCACTGTATGCTCCCACAACACCCTGTTCTCACTCCTGTCTTACCGCAATCCCTGTGTTGTAATTGCCAGGGTGCTTGGTGGCTATTACTGTTATTGTGACACTTGGTTTTGCTTCCAGCAGAGAGAACAATGTCAGACATGTAATAGAAGCTCCACAGCCCTAGCTGATTTGGTCCAGTGGTTAGAGCGTTGGCCCGCAGACTGAAGGGCCCTGGGTTTGATTTCTGCCAAGAGCACGTACCTCGGTTGCAGGTTGGTTTCCCTGCCCTGGTCCGGGTGCTTGCAGGAGGCAACTAATTGATGTGTCTCTCTCGCATCAATGTTTCCCCCCCGCACACACACTCTCTACTCTCTCTGAAAAACAATGGAAAAAATATCCTCGTGTGAGGATTAAAAAAAAGATGAAGCTCAACATATGCCTGTCAAATGGATGAATAAAATGAGGTTGCATGGGGAGGGCAGTAGGGAAGCTGGTTAATAGTTGTCTACACTCACTCCAGCGTTCTTTCCCCAATGCCAGAGATAGAAAAGATGCTCCCTTGGGGATGATCCTCTAAAGGCATTGTTGGCCCATGGTCGAAGGCACTTTGGGTAGGGGGTAAATCATGGGCACTGGTTTGGGCTCATCATGTGGGTGGGGTTTGCCTATAGCCTCCCTGGGCCCAGGGAAAGCAGGGACAGGGAAGGAGGAAAGATGTGTTGGTGTTGGGCTGGAGCTGGGGCAGTCACCTTAGCAGAGTATGGCCCAGTGTGTCTGGGCCTCCCCATCCTGGCCCCACCATGAGGAACTAATCTTCCCTGACAGATGGGGGTAACCAGATGTTGCAACCACAGAGGCCAGGGTTTCACCCCTGTGAAGAATGACCATTCTGCTTTTTTAGAGAACAAAAAGCATGACCAAACTCCTTCTTTTAGACACCAGTCTGCCTGAGAAAACCCGTTTTTGAAAAACACATTCTCACGCCCAATTCTGTGTGATCTGGCAAGTTGACACAGGAGACCCTCTATCCGGGACCCATACATACAGTGGTTGTCCCCTTTCCCTACCCCAACTCCTGGGCACTGGTAGATGGGAAAGCAAGAGAAACGGAGAGAAACAGGTAGGACACAGGAAGCAATGCTGCCCATCCCACCAGCCACATGCCCTCACAAGATGCCTCGTTTGTACGACTGATAAATATTTAACAACCAATGAATGAATACGTGAATGAATGGAAACAATGAGTGAAGAAATGGAGGAAGTGAAGGAAGGAAGGATTGGTTGGGATTATGAATGGAAAAGAAGGAAGGGGGAAAAAAGTGAATGCATAAATGGATCGAGGTGATGG